TAATGTGAAACTTCCTCAGTTCTTGTGGACTGAAGCACTAAAGACGGCTGCGTATATATTGAACCGGGTACCAACCAAGGCTGTCTCAAGGACACCTTTTGAATTATTTAAGGGTTGGAAGCCGAGTTTGCGACATATACGTGTTTGGGGATGCCCGTCTGAGGTAAGAATTTATAATCCACAAGAAAAGAAGCTAGATCCGAGGACTATTAGTGGGTATTTCATTGGATACACCGAAAAGTCCAAAGGATATAGATTCTATTGTCCATCTCATAGCACTAGAATTGTGGAATCAAGAAATGCGAAATTTCTCGAGAATGACTTAGTTGGTGGGAGTGATCGTTTTCCAGATACTCATTCTGAAAGAGATCACTATAATGATCAACCTACTGAGTCGAGTGATAGATTGATTGTCTTCCACGATCCTCAAGTTCCAACGCGTGTTAGACGATTAACTAATGAAGTTCCACAAACTGATGAAAATGGTCACGTAGATCAAGTTGTTAATGAGGAACATCAAGAAAATGTTGAACAACATGTTGTTGAATCAGTTGGTCAGCAAGTTCTTCATGATAATGATGAGACAACATTGAGAAGATCTACACGAGTCAGAAAATCAACTATTTCTAGTGACTTTATGGTGTATCTTCAAGAATCGGATTATGATATAAAAGCCGCAAATGATCCTGAAACGTTTTCACAAGCCATGAATTCTAAAGAATCCGATTTATGGCATGGTGCTATGAAAGACGAGATGGACTCTATGGCATCAAACAAGGTATGGGATCTTGTCGAGTTGCCTGATGGTGTAAAAGCCATTGGATGCAGATGGGTCTTCAAAACCAAAATAGACTCTGATGGCAACATCGAAAGACATAAAGTAAGACTTGTTGCTAAGGGATTCACTCAAAGGGAATGAATCGATTACATCGAGACGTTTTCTCCGGTATCTAAGAAAGATTCCCTCTGTGTGATCATGGCATTAGTAGCTCAGTTTGATTTTGAGTTACATCAAATGGATGTGAAAACAACATTCCTGAATGGTGATCTAGAGGAGAAGGTTTATATGAAACAACCTGAAGGATTTACCTCTAGTGGTGGAAAAAATTTAGTTTGTAAGCTTAATAAATCAATATATGGATTGAAGCAAGCCTCCCGTCAGTGGTATTTGAAATTTCATGATGTTATCTCTTCATTCGGCTTTGAAGAAAACTTCATGGATCACTGTACATACCAGAAGGTTAGTGGGAGTCATATTTGCTTCCTTGTGTTGTACGTGGATGACATTTTGCTTGCAACTAATGATAAAGGGATGTTATATGAGGTGAAACAATTTCTCTCAAGGAACTTTGATATGAAAGATATGGGAGAGGCATCTTATGTCATTGGCATTAAGATCCATAGAGATAGAAATCGAGGCATTTTGGGTTTGTCTCAAGAAGCCTATATCAAGAAAGTTCTAAAAAGATTTAATATGAAAGATTGTTCACCGAGTGTAGCTCCCATTGTGAAGGGCGACAGGCTTGATTTAAGTCAGTGTTCGAAAAATGACTTTGAAATGGAACACATGAGCAATACCCCTTATGCTTCAGCAGTAGGAAGTCTTATGTATGCTCAGGTTTGCACCAGACCTGACATAGCATATGCTGTTGGAGTATTAGGGAGATATCAGAGTAATCCAGGTGTTGACCACTGGAGAGCTGCAAAGAAAATGATGAGGTACCTTCAAGGTACGAAGGACTTCATGCTCATGTATAAACAAACTGATGTCCTGAAAGTGATTGGCTACTCCGATTCGGACAACGCTGGCTGCATTGACACTCGGAAATCCACATCGGGTTATATGTTCATGTTGGCTGGTGGAGCTATCTCTTGGAGAAGTGCGAAGCAGTCTATCACTGCTACTTCCACTATGGAGGCTGAGTTTGTTTCATGTTTCGAGGCTAGCTCGCATGGTGTATGGTTGAAGAGTTTCATATCCAAGCTTAGAGTCGTTGACTCTATTTCCAGACCGATTAAGTTGTACTGTGACAACTCTGCTGCGGTGTTTATGGCTAAAAACAATAAGAGTGGGAGTCGAAGTAAACACATCAACATCAAATATTTAGCCTTAAGAGAACGTGTCAAGGAAAATAAAGTGGTCATTGAACACGTAAATACATAGTTGATGCTTGCTGATCCCTTGACTAAAGGCATGCCACTAAAGAGTTTCAGGGATTACGTAGCAAGTATGGGACTTGATTCTACAATGTAGTTTGTTTGCACACATTGTTATTTGAGACTCTTATTCAGTTTGATGTTTTCTCGTTTTATTGTGCACATATTTGTTTATTATTGAGAAAACTCGCTTAAGTTTAACCCGGAATAAATATAAGATTTATTCATTAAGTTATGAATTTAGTTTGAAATGTTTGACATATTGTAATACATGGAAGATAACATTCATTTATAGAAGACCTACCGCCATGATTCGTATGTAAGGTTTCTCGTTATGTTGTGATGGTTTGAGTCGGCCAAGTGGGAGAATGTTAGTTTAATTAATTCATTAATCATATTTGAATTTTGATTATTTTGAATTATCTTGTATAATTAAACTAACCTAAAATTGTGGCCCACTTTTCTCCCATTAAGTCTATCACATTCAAAATATACGTGAGAAGTGCCAGAAAAATCGTGATGGACGATTTCTCTTTTTTATTATAAATACTCTCACATACTGGTTACTAAACCTACTCTCAGAAAATCAGAATACACCATCGCTATTTGAGAGCCAGGGTTTGGCAACATCGTCCTAGGGTTCCACGATCTGGTGCTATCTTCGGAGGTTTCCAAAATTTGGCAACATTCTCCCAAGGGTTCCAAAGCCTGACAACACCATCTTCCCACGGTTCCAATCTACTGTTCTTGAAGAAGATCCCAAGAACGATCCTAAGAACAAATCTAATTTTTAGCAATAGCTGGGGGTTTGTTTAAATTCCGCTTCCGCTAACATATTTGATTATATGTTTATTTTGTAATGTTCGAAAATTCCGAAATTATTGAATATATTAAAATACGTATTTTTTATAGCTTCAAAATAAAACATGTTTTTGGATTTCTACTTCACAAAAACATTATTATCTCAAGTGGGGAGCCAGTCGCTCGGCTATGAAGCCGGTCCCTTTACATAGACATAATAGACAGTTTTTTTGAAGTAGTTGAAATTGAATCGGCTGATGAAAAAAGATCGGATTGATAGAGGAGGATCACACCAAGTGCAACTGTGCATATTTGTTGTAAATAATACATAAATAAATTGTCTTGAAAATTTCGATGCAATTTTTTTAATTAAAAAATAATATATATAAAAAATCTTCGGAATTTTTGAGATTATTTTAATAATTAAATATAAATAATATATTATAAATTGCTTTGAAAATTCCGAGACCATTTATAATGGACTCGGAAAATTCCGAATCTTGTAGCAATAGTCACGGAATGGCTTCCGTGTCTTTTAAATTAAATAACATTATATAAAAAATTGTCTCGTAATTTTTGAAACTATTGAAATAAAAAATATTTAATATTATTTTTAATAACTTCAGAATTATTTCCGAAGCTTTTCTCTAAGCCGATTTCCAAATTTTTGGCAGTATTTTTAATGGAAATATTTGTGTAGATAAATATTGAATAAATATTAATAATTAAATATATTTTTTTTTTAATTTTCAAAATATAGTGTAAATGAGATAAAAATAACAGATGGAACCCAAAAAAAAAATAGAAATAAATATTTCTAAATTTAACGAGAGAAAGCAATGAACATTACACATGTTACTTTCGGATTCGACCGTGCAGTATGAGGAAAAACGGTGACTCAGAGAAAATAAATGTGTAACTATGATGTTCTGAAACAAAATATTTCTTCCTTTCCTTTATATTTTTAAATACATGGTGTGAGATTATGCTCAAACGGGGACAGGGAGGAACAATTTCTCCCACATACGTTGTATACATGGATATGATGAGTATATACTTCCCAGTTGAAGCATACAAATTGTAAAATTAAAAACTAAAATTTAAAATTGAATACTTAGATTGTGAGTTTGGGATTTGAATAGTAAAAATTTTGAATTTGAATAGTTGTATAATGTGATATAAATAGGAGTTGATGTGATGTTTTGAATGTAAAATTGATTTTTAGTATAATATAAAAAATATAAAATAAGTGTTTAATTTGATTTTTGGGGGAAAAAAATTGGATGAATATACAAACGAATGGATAAGAAAAAATTATATTCCCTCTTGACTTTTTTTTTTTTTATTTTTTGTCTGATGATTTTTTTTTTATTTTTAATAAATTTAATATATTAACAAATATAAATCAATTTAATTATAATTTTAATTTTTTTTATCACGTCCTCTTGCTACTTTTGTCCTCTTTTTATTTTTAATAAATTTATTCCTCTTAAATATATTTAAAAAAATCGATTTAATTATATTTCTAACTTAGATCAATTTAATCATATTTTTAACTTCTTACACTCTCATTCTCTTAAATATATTTTAAAAAATCGATTTAATTATATTTCTAACTTATAAAACAAATATAGATCAATTTAATTATATTTTTAACTTCTTACCCTAACTCTTTTATTTTTATTTTCTCGTTAATTAATAAATAAATATTCGATGGTAATTATAAATAAATAAATAAAATTTTATTATCGCATACATTTTCTTAGAAACATAGTCTTAAAAAAATTAAAATATCCATATAAAAAGTAATAAACTCATATAATAATTTATCAATCCACATAAAAAATTGTGTCAAACGTGTCTAACAAAAGAGGACATCCCTCTAACAAAAAAGCGCTTAAAAAAAATGTGTCAAACGTGTCCTAAAAAAAGAGGGCATCCCTCTTAACAAGAATAAAAATTAATATTTGGTGGATGTAGAAAGAAACATAAAAAATTGTAAAAATATTTATCTAAAATGAACCATAGATTTGGACACAATGTAAAGAACTAAGTGACATTGCACTAAAGAAACAACCACAGCCACAACCGGTACGGTACATACATTAAACAAACATAGTAGTAGTCCATGTCCATGTCCATCTCAAGATCATCATCATACACAAATTTCAAATTAACAAAGCACCACCACAATTTATTATTATGACATTACAATCCTCATCCTATCATTAATTCTCACTTCACCCCATCCCTTCATGTCCGCACGCCGCCGCCGCCGCCCTCCTGCGCCTTGCTCTTAATCGTCTCCCCGGCCTGCTTCGTCTTCTCCCCCATCATTTCTCCCATCTGCTTCGTCTTCTCCCCCACCGTCACCGTTGCCTCCTGCGCCCGCCGCCTCGCATACTCCAGCGGATCCTCGCCGGTCGCCCGCCGGAACGAATTCACCACCCACGAGAACGACGACAGTCCGGTCAACCCGAAAGCCCCCGACGTCAGGATTCCGGCAACCGCCCCGGCGAGGAGAATCGCCGCCGGCACCAGAACTGGGCTGAAGATCACAAATAGCGGGGTGGCCACCGCCAGCCCAATTAGGGTTCCGACCATGGTCACTCCGGCGAGCCCCAGAAGTGAGGCGCCGATTGGGAGGAACATCACTATCGCCAGAATCTGGCCGGCGGACGGACCGCCGCCGGCGCCCTTCTGCTGGAAGATGGCCGGCCTCACACCGCCCTCGTAGCGCGGCTGCGCCGTCACTTGGAGCTGCTGGTACGGACGGTCGCGCTCCGCCATGTCGATCGGAATTATCCTATGCAAGATATTAATTAATTACTATTTTTTTTAAAAAAAAAAAGTTATCGATATATTTTTGATGGAGGTGTGAAGAGAATTATGGAGGTGGAGCTTTAAAAAGAGAATCCACAGTGCAACGTGTTGAATTGCATGTTCAATTCAATCTGACGAGGCTTTGCATGAGGTACAAGTTGCACTATTTGCTGCCACAACATTATTTTCTTTAAAAAAATATAATAATCATATATATATCTTATTGGGCCTAGGAGGCCCAATAAAGAAGCCCGGCCCACTCCAGTTGATTGCTCCTCAAAAAGGATGGCGCGATCGTGGCCGTTGATCTAAAGGCGCCATACCCCAAATTCCAAACTTTGTCGAAAAAACACACAAATCTACGCCATCCATTTATTAGGTCAAGATTTTTCCCCAAAGGAATTCTTTCCCTCTAATAATAAAACCCCTCTTTCTTCAAATCCCAAATTCACATCTCCTTTTGCCGCCATCCATTGCAATAAATTAAAACTTTCTGCAATTTGCAAGATCCACCTTCAAATCAAATAGGATTTCTCATTTCTTCTTCTTCATTCTTCTCGCCATAAAATGGGGTTTTCGAAGAATCATCATCAAATCCAAATGGGGTTGAGCAAAGAGTCTGAAGAATGGGTTACAGCTGCTGCAATAAGGTCGCCATTGAAGCCGCTCAAGTCTGTAAGTAGAGACAGAGAAGAGGAGAATAACAATAACGTCGTCGACGAAGAAGCCACTACCCCGACGGCGCGTGGGTCGAGGATACCGGGAAAGCTGGCCTGCCCGCCGCCGCCGCGGAAGCGCCGCCCTGCTTCGAGCAAGTGGCACTACAATAATGGAGTAAGAGAGTTCTTTAACCCTCCGGACTTGGAATCAGTGTTCGTGTGCCACGCCGGCAGAGCCAACTAAATAATCCCTCCATTCTCTCAGGGCAGATATACAATCGATCATTCCTCCCTTTAATTTAATTTAGATTCTTATTACCAAGTTAAACTTAGGGTTTTCATTAATTAGTTAAGATCGTGTCATAGCTGTGTGGTATATTTCTTATATAAGTTCTTAGGCTTTCAATTCAATCTTCCACTGTTCTATAACAGATTAATTACTTCTATTTAATATATATTTTATTTTTTCTCGATGTTTGATTCTTTTTTTCCAATGCCATAGCCATCTATTCATGTTTGTCTGGGGTTGGAGTCCCGGGCGCTCCCAAGAATTAATCAATTCCAATTATTACATTACGCCACTAAAACCCTAAACACACCACAACCCAAAGAACCCATTTTGGGGTCCTTATGCAATAAGCAGACACAACACGTGCGTGCATAGAAATTGCTAATTCCGAAACACAAATAATTAATTTTAATTATTTATTTCTATTCAATCAGTAGATAATACTTATCATTCCTTGGGCACCAAGAACCAAGAATCAACTACACTGTATATATATATATATATATTAATGGCAGAAACCCCAACCAGCAGTGTGATTTTCCAGAATACATAAGCCCCGTAGAATCACACACCTCTCAATCCCATTGTAATAATAAATATATATGTACTAAAATTAAATAAGGTGAGGTTGGTGCTGGAAAATGAGAGAATCCTATGTGGGTTTCTGATCTCACAGAAATGTCGATATATGATGATGATGATGAAGAAGAAGAAGAAGAAAAGCTTTGGAATTATCGTATACTACAAAATTATAAATGTGTTGTAGTTAGTGCTGGACGTCAGTACACTACAGTGGTGATGAAAACGGATAATTATCACATATATATATATATGAATGTATGTATGTATATATAATCTGGTCTGGGACAGTACACCCAATAAGAATAACTGGATAAGGAAGAATCTTTAATTACATAATACAGAACGGTGCGATTATTACATTTAGATAAGAGTCTAGACTCTAGAGGGAGTCCATTGTTTTTATTTGTTGTCTTATTTTGGGGGAGTTTATTTTAGGGTGAGTTTTGGTTGGGGAATTGGATTAGATTTCTGTTATTTATCCTATTTCTTTGTTTTAAAAATATCAAATTAAATACTTATTTTTTATTTTTTATATTATTATAAAAATTAATTTTATATTCAAAATATCACATCAGCACCTATTTATATCACATCATACAACTATTCAAATTCAAAAATTTTACTATTCAAATCCCAACTTAAAATCCAAACCCTCGAACAAACACACCCTAATGATTTTGGAAAAATTTTGAGTTTTGATTTGGATTATAGTTAAATTTTAAAGACGAGTTTTGATTTTTGTGTTGTTTTAAGATTGTAAATTTGGATTGGGTTTTGGAGGTTTAATGTGTATTGATTTAAATTTAAGAAATCACTAAAAAAATAATAATAATAATAATAATAAAAATTGAAATTTAGTTTAAAAAAATGTAGCGAAAGGTAATAATTTTTAGCAAAAAAATTTTTGCGACGAAAGTTTCGTCGCCTATACCGTATTAGTAAAGATCATATGATTTTCGTAACAAAAAATAATTTTGTTGCTATGAAAATTAAGAAAAATGATTGTATGATTTTGTAACTAAAGTTCTTTTGCTATAAATTTAAAATTCATAACAAAACAATTTTAACATCAAAATCTATATGATTTTTTTTAGCCATGAAAAATAATTATGTAGTTAAAACTTTTTTGCTATGGAAATATAATTTTTTAGCAAAAAATATTAGCAATGAAATAAATTTTGTAGGACATAATTTGTTTTTAGCAATGAAATTAATTTTTTGCAGCTAAATGACACGTTATAACAAAAAAATATTTCGTAGTTAAAAATATTGTATAGCTAGTTAAATATTTTTTTAGTGAATTAATAATGGTGTGATTTGAATATTTATTTGTGATAATTAATTAATTAGAAGTAAATATTTATATTTTTTTATTATTGATAATATATAATATTGTATTATTTTAAAAATTACATATATATATATATTGTATTAAATTATATTTAATAAAACAACCAAACAATTAATTTGATGGAGTTTTGCTTGGTTTGGCACGCAATCCGAACCGTACACAGTGCCAAACTTCGAATCGGTGAAAAAAAAAAAAACACATCTTTTGTAAATTTAAAAAATAAAAATATATTCAATTAATTTTTTTAAAAACATCAAATAATTATTTATTTACTTTAAGTTATTAAATCAATTTATATTAATATCATATTAATAGTTATTTAAATTCAAATTTTTATTACTGAAAAATCTAAATACAAAGAATTATATTTATTCATAATTTTATTATTTATATTTTAACAAATAATAATCAATTTGTTATTATTTTTTGTATTTATCACATTATATATATATTTTTTTATCAAATTTTAACAAATTTTTTATAATATATATATATATATTTAATCTCTTATCTATATATTTCACTTTTACGTTAAAATATTATTATTTTTAATTGTCATGACCAATTAAAAAAACATAATTACAGATTTAGGCTCGTTTAGATATAGTTTGTGGAGTATTGTAATTTTTAAAATTTTTTAAAATAATAAAAAGTTAAAGCTATATTAATACGAATATCTTTAGAATTTTTGACCCGTCCTATCATAGATGATCCATTTTTTTTTTATTCATCCTACAAAAGATGATTCATTTCCATTTTTAGTAATTTTATCAATCTTAAATATATTTAATAAATATAAATCAATTTAATTATTTTTATTTAGTATTGCATATATTTTTTCTAAATATAATTTTTAAAATTTTTTAAAATACCAATAATATTATTTATATAAAAAATTAATAAACTAATATCAGAACTTATTATTAATAATTTTCTAATTTACAATAACTAAAAACTCGTGTCTCTAATAAACGGATTCATCCCTCGTGGGACGAAGGGAATACCTTTTACTAAAAATCGTATGAATACATTTTTTTTATAGATAATCTAAAATAGTAAAACTAGCTAAGTTTTTAAAAAATAAAGACATAATATAATTTTTTTGGTACTATTTTTCAAAAATTTCAAATATACTCCCTCCGTCCACGGATAAAGTATATATTTACTTTTGGCACGGAGTTTAAGAAATAATAATATTTTAATTATAGTAGGTAAGTAAAAGTAGTGTAATGACATTTTTGCTCTTACTTTTTTTTTATAAAAGTAATGATGTGATGTAAAGTAAGAGTATTTGTGTGAAAAAGTAGAGTATTTAATAAAATAGTTACTTTGTAATTGGACGTCCCAAAATAGAAATATGTATACTTTATATTTGGACGGAGGAAATATAAAAATTTAAAAATTTATGTCTATCAAAAAAAAAAAAAAAAAATTCTCCTCCATTAACGAAAGCATAGCCATATTAGTACTATTCCATGTGGGTTTTGCTTCATAGGATTCCTCTGACAGAGGTGGAAATTATTTATGGGTGCTATAAATATAAATATAAATATACTTATTTTACTGTCGGTATTAATTAGTTTTAACTGAGGCTGTTTCCTTGCAGGAAGCACCTACTGCTGTCACTTGGTCTCACTTTACTTGGCTTACCATTAAATAAATATGCATGCATACATCTATATCCATTTTTTTTATTTAAAAATTAAAAATTTAAAAATAAAATTGAATGGGATTAAAAAATGCTTTCATACAAATTTAATTTTAAATTTTGGAATTTGCTGCTTTGAAATTGGTTGAATGAATGAATGTGTTATGTGTGGTCTGCAATTGGGTGATTAAATAAATATTTATACTAATTTATTTTATTATGTTTTGAATCCACAAAAAAAATAAATATTTATATTTATATATATATATTTAGATCGTGATGAAAACTTTAGTGGGCGGGAAAGATTGGTGGATTTTTTTGGAGGTGCCGCTGAACCGTTGGAGTGGTGTGTCGGTTCCAGGAGTTGAGGTCCGGTTTGGCTTACACCATTCGTTAATGTGGGTCCCACAGAAGAAACTTCTCATGATTGGTGCATGTCTTCTGGGTCCCGGAGCAATAATCACCGACTTGTGAAATTTGAAACGGGTGGTGGATTTCGTATTTATTGTTTCCTTTGGGTGTGATTTTTGTGAGGATTTTATTATTTTAATTTTTTTTTATTATTTTTTTAAATAGTATTGAATTATATACTAATTTGTCTCATATATATAATGTTACAATTTTTTTTTTCTCATTCAAACATACTATGTTATTTTTTTAAAAAAATATTTTATTTTTTAATCATATTTTAAATTTTATAATTTATAATTTTATAATTTTTATTAAACTAATTAATTATTTCAATTTTAATCTATAATTATTTGTATTATATTTTAATTAATTTTATTAATATATTTTTAATTCTTTATTAATCATATCTTTTCTAAATTATCGTGTTTATAGTAACCCTAACACTATATATTGATGAGAATATTTATTTTTATTTATTATATTAAATTAAAATTTTAATTTTATAATTAAAATATTTCATCAATATATATATTTATATCATGTCAATCAATTATTTCAATTCAAAATTTTACCGTTAAAAAATAAAATTCAAAATCAAAACCCCCACTAATAAACACATCCTTATTTATTTTAGTGACTCAAGCCAATCTCTCTACACACAAATAAATGTATGCAGTTATTTTATTAAACTAGCTTAAAAATTGTTACTATGCAAAATAATAAATGAACAAAACATAGATTTACTGTAACATTAAATACTTACAGATAAATTTTATACTAGATTCAGGAGTAGCATATATAATTGGTGAGTAACTTTATACATCATCCATCTGTCTCAGTGTATTTTGTAAAATTTGTCCCACTTAAATATTACTCACTCTCTATCTCAAACAATGTGCAACGTTTTACTTTTAACACGGGTTTTTAGATAGATAGTATTAAGTAGGATAAATTAGAAATTAAGTGATATGATGGAGAGAAAAATATATATTTTATTTTTTTATTTGGATGATGTGAGGGGATAAAAGTGTGGGATAGAGATTAAGTATAATTAATTATTTCATATTTTAAAAATGTTTCAGGATGTTTGGGACATATCAAAAATGAAATATTGCAAGGTGTTCGTGATAGAGGGAATACTAATTTTCTATTATAGTAAAATAATTATATATATATAAATATAAAAATATCTCTAATTTTTACAAAATTATTATCTTTTGAATTTGCAATGACAAA